GCACACACAAGATCCACAAGCTCAAACCAGTTTTTTTCTTCAACCTGTTTTTTGGTCATGCCAGCATAGCGAAAGATGAGACATGAAAACTCTACTTGCAGTTAAAGGGAGATCCAAAGCCCACTACAACAATTCACATAGCCCACAGCTTGCTCCCAAAGACCAAGAATGCCTGCCAGGTGAATTTCTCTGGCAATAGTAAGAAACTGCTCCTACCTGGTACCTTTCCATCTCTGAGGATTTTCCTCTGTCTGCACAGAATGAATGTATTCTAAATACACATTAACTTCTGTGTATTTCTGGAATTGCTTGGCCTACAATGTACACACAGTATTTTCAGCCTGTATGAGGTTTAATGCCGTTCAGTAATACATACATGTACAGTCAGATTCTCATGTAATAGGCAGCAGTGTACTTTGCCAGTCAAATCTCACAGAAGAAATATCACAAAGCACTAGATATGAAAGGACTCTCCAGTTACAGAGACTGGTACTTATTTGAATTAAGGTTGTCAGCATTCTCCTTTTTAATCTCCTTTGGAAAATGGAGGTTTTTGACCCATGAATTAGACTAAGACTTCAGCAATCCAAAGTATACTTCTACCTCTGCTAAATAAGTCTTTGTGTGATCTTAAATAACCTCCTGTCAATACATGAATTTACATTGATGTTTCAGCCTTGTGAAGATCAGTGGGGATAACTGTAAGATGCTGTAAACTATATGGCACTCACGCATCTATCGAATTGTGATAAGTTTAATGTTGTTTTAAAATGTTTTAAAACTCCTACAAAGATTTATACTGCCTGTGCCCACACTAGCAAATAGTGCAGTGAAACAGGAGTGTATCTGCAGAGTAAGACTTGACATCAATGCAGGGGAGTTCACGCTGGATTAGTTCCAGTTTAGTTGTATGGAGTATGTCCATCAGCAGCTGGAGTGCATTAGGTATGCTCCAGCAGTGCATCTTCATGTGAAAGGAAGAGTTTGCCACCTGTGAGACACAATCCAAAGCCTGGTAAGCAGACAAGAAACTGATTCCACGAGTACATTTGTGATCTGGACTGCCATCGTAACAAATCTACTCAGAATAAAAACATGGATCTGAATCAATATGTAGACATGACTCCTTCAGAGCTACCAGTGAAATGCTGCCATGAAGGTTCCCTTGCTGAACAAAGAGAGTGCATCAGCTGAAGTCTTCATGCACACACCTTACGAAGACATCAAATACAAAGCCCTCTTGCACACTGATCCCTCTGAACTACAGCCACTGTAACACACGAGTGTAAACTGAGGCTATTCTAATTTTGTCCCCCTAAGATCAGGACAACACATCAATGCCACATTGGCTTTTCAACTCCTCAGCAACCCTAACTGCAAACATAGGCAAGTTAAAGCACTGTCCGTACAGACACTAACTAGATCATGTCCCTTAACTCATCAGACATACTCATTATTTTTTTCCAAGTAAACTATTTCTAAAAAATCATGAAAAATATGGAAAAACAAACAGTAAATTTTGATTTACTATTTCTCATCACAAGTGGGCACCCAATGAAATTAGCAGGCAGCAAATTTCAAACAAACAGAAGGAAGTACTCTTTCACCAAGCAAGTAATTAAATTGTGGCACTCATTGCAACAGGATGCTATGGAAGCCAACAACATAAAAGAGTTCAAAAAATGTTTAGACAGATTTGTGGCGGATATGTGCACACACAGCTATCAGCAGCAATGATCCAGACACAGCCTTGGGCTCTGGAAGTTGCTCCCAAAGCTGTTCACTTCCAGAAGAGGAAAGGACATGCAAGGGAAAGGGTTCCACTTGTCTTTTCTCAATTCTCGTGTTTCCTCCTTAAAGCCTCTTATAATGGTCATTCTTAAAGACAAGATATTGGAGAAAAAAATCCTGATCTTATAGATCTGTCTTTAGGTTTTAAATTGAGCTATGCCTAGATAGTATTTTAACAACACACTCTGTGTAAAATAACATATGAAAAAAGACAACTTTCATTTTGATTCGCCAACTCAGTTTTTGATTTTGTTGTTGTGAAGTCAAGACAACAAAAGCAATTAAATGTAGAAACGGGAAAACTATTAGAGAGTGGCAGATGGTATTTCAAGGAGGAACTATTTTAAGCTGATGTCACCAGGTAAAAAGCCTTGAGATATTAAAACAGTACCCCAAGCAAAGCCAAATGTTTTTATAGACAAATAAAGATACCATCAGCACCCTGAAAAGCTTACCTTCTAGAACTCTGACAAGAACTAACAAGTGAGAGCAAAGGAGGCCAGTGTTCAAAGTTCTGTCTTGTCTTGCTGCTTCATTAGTAGTTTAAGAGCGTGAGCAGTGTTTCAATTCCAATTATCACATACTGTATGTGCAAGATGCCGTGGGCAAAGACACGTGCTACAATGACCCAACAGGAGATAACAAAGATGAGGAGTCTGCAAGTATCAACAAATGACATAAAGGAAAGAACACTTTAGTGGGAAGCATATGATTGCATCACAAATGAAAACAAAGATGCTAAAAAAATAGTTCAGGTTGGGAAGGGTCATACAGATTAAAAAGAAGAAATTGTAAGGTTGGTCTGAGGCAAGACTGTGAATAAGCAAGCAAACGTGGGAGAAGCCAGAGGGAACACAGTGCTGGCACCAGCATGTGAGCTTATTGCCAGGCTGTTGAAAACTAGTGTCTTACACAGACATTTGTTGCACTATTGCCCAATGAATGCAAGTAATGACACATCAAATAATTTTGAAATGGTGATGCCACAGCCATGCTCCTAAATAAATAAAATAATAAAAACACATAAAAACATCATCCAATATCAACACTTTCCAGAAAAATATGATGATCAGGAATTCTGAAAATTACTCACACAGAGTAAGAAGCAGCATCTCAGATGTTTGTGTGTTTTGCAATGGACACACTGGGCAGAAACAGAGTATGCAGGGTAACAAGAGACAGACTGAAAAAATCTGAAAGCTTTTAGCAACTACATTTTCTTGACAAGATGAGCAGATTAGGAACAGGATAAAAGAAGATGTAAAGAAGACACTGCTTGCACCTAACTGCAGTCCCTTAGAACAGAGGAAGGACTTACACAAGGAGAAAACAGGGAATTTATTTGACATAAAGCCTCGTGGTGATTTGATTCTTAAGAAGGGAAGAATTGTAAGGAAGGACTGCAGACTGAAATGAATACAAAAGTAAGCAAAGAAGAGAAATTACACTGGAAAGATAAATACCTGCTCTGAGAAAACCTATCAGCAATGATGCTCAAGGATCATTTTTCTTTTTTTTTTTTTTTTTTTTTTTTTTTTCAGCTGGGACATGGGCATTAATTGGAGAAACACCTACATAATATAAGCTACACAAGCTACCAACATGTGATGAGAGATGTGATAAAAATAAACAGGGTCAGAGTATCACTCAAGAAGCGGATGGTTTTAGGGACAGCAGTCGGAAGAAAAAGAACACAAAGTATAGCAAAACAGTATTAAAGACAAAGGCAGCTCCAGACAAAATGGGCAAATTTTTTCCAGAAAGAGTGGGAAATACTGCTGCTATCAATCGAGACATAACAGAAAGTCCATCTGGAATAAAACATAGTCTGGTTAACTGAATTCATGATCACAGCTGGAATGGATGTACAGGAGAAGAATAAGAATGAATGCAAACACACAGACAGTCTTTTGAGAGGCTTGGGGAAAAGAGGGGAAAACAAAACCCCAAAGAAGGTATGACTTTAAATACATCCAAGCTGCGTAAATCAAAGAACATTGTTTCAAGCTTAAAGAGAGTAGATTTAAGTTGGATATAAGGAAAAAGTCTTTTACAGTGTGGGTGGTGAGGCACTTGAACAGGCTGCCCAAAGAGGTGGCGGATGCCCTGTCTCTGGAGACATTCAAGGCCAGGCTGGATCAGACCCTGGGCAACCCAATATAGCTGTGGTGTCCCTGTTTGTTGCAGAGGAGTTGGACCGGATGACTTTTAAAGTCCTGTACTGAGGACCCCACACATGGACACAGTACTCCAGGTGAGGCTTAACCAACTCAAAAGATTCATTTTCACTTTTTATTACACCCTGAGATTAGATGCATCAACTACGAATTACAGCCAGATCCTGCACTCAGATCCACTTACACAGATCTTCCAAGATCCCTGTTGATTTTAATGGGCCTCTTAGCATGTATAAGACCTAAGATTAGGGCTAAAATTGCAAGCATCAGGTCTAAAGTTCAAAGGTACATTTTTAGAGGTAATCACTTTGCCAAAGAAATGATTCCTGTAAATGAGACGTGGGGTTTTGTTAGTTATCCACTTTCCCTAGTCCTTGTCTTCTCCCTCACCTTCCAAACTGAGACTTTTATTCATTTACGGATTCTCTCTGTTAGTGCGGAGGTGTTTAGCTGGACGAGGATCAAGCGATCCTATGACCCTGTCAGTACGAACCGGAAGGCCCGGCAGCCGTCCGTCTCCCCAAGCGCCCGCCAAGCTGCCCAGGCCCGCTCACATCCCGTCTGAAAAGCGACCCATGGCAGAACCGCGGTGCCGTCAGCCGCTCCCCGCCTTCGCTCCCCGACCCCCGCCGAGCGCGCAGACCGCGGCGCCCCGCCTCACTCACTCACTCACTCACTCACTCACTCACTCACGTTCTTGGTCTCGTTCACCTCGTTCCTGCCCTTCCCGATCGCCGCGCCGTCGTACACCAGCAGGCAGCCGACGGGCACCTCCCCGACTTCCAGCGCCTCCTGAGCCTGCGGACAGACACGGCGCGGGGCAGCGTTAGTGCGGGGACGCGGGACGGCCCAGCCCCGCCGCGCGGCCGTCCCGGCTTCCCGCCGTGCTGACCATGAGGAAGGCCTGCTCCATCCACGCTGCCTCGTCCTCCTCCATGGCGGCCCGACGGAGCGCGGGCGCTGTTTCCGGGGGGCCGCGCGGGGAGGCACCGCGGGCGGGGCCGCCGAGGGCTCCGCCGGGGGCCGCTGCCACCTCCCCTTCCGCCGACGCAGGGAGGCGAGGGGCGGCCGTGTCGGGCGCGCAGGATGCTCCGGTCGCTCTGGAGTTTCCTCAAGCGGCACAAGAAGAAATGCCTCGTCCTCGGCACCTTCCTCGGCGGTGAGTGCCCGCGGCGCGGCCGAAGGGGCTCCGTGGCTGCGGGGGGAGCCGCGGCCCTCCATTCTCGGGGACCCTCCGCTCCCCGAGTGCCGCCCGGCCGGCCCGGGCCCCAGCTCGCGGGGTAGCGGTGGAGGAGGGGTTGTGAGAGCGACTGTCGGAGCCGTTCTTCTTCCCTCAGAGCTCCGTCTAAGCCACGGGGGCACGGTCTGGTAGGCTCCTCTTTGGAGTTATTACGAGATTAGTTCGAGTGGGATTAGATTTAAAGGAACGCCTCGGACCTGTCTCTCTCTGGCGATAAAACGCCACGCTGTGTTTTCTCGGCGGAGGTGAGGTGTTTCTCAAACGACGCGGCCAAGTCTTTGCACGCTCAGTCGTCAGATCTCCATGTATTTTAGGCAAATGGCACAGAATTAAAGATCGCAGAGTTGCTAAGGAGCCTTTGATTTGTTTGTGCCCACAGGAACTTGTTTGAGCAGTTCAGTGTTCTGAAGGCTGTAAGGTTTCTGCAGTGCATTTGGTGTCTCTCTCTTTGTTGCTTTTGATTCAGGTGAGGCCTTCTGGGGGGGTGCAGTGGATATACTTGTGGCCTCTACACCCTTCCAGCACGGATTCCTTCTGTATTTTTCCAAAGAGTTCTGATGGGTGCATGATAGTTGGTTAGCTGGTGTTCACAGTCAAACTGCTTTGCCCCTTCCCTGCAGGCTTTCTGCCTTCACAAACACAAAAGAAGGTTATGTTTACCTGTTTGAGCCTCCACGCTAGCAGCCCACCATGCTAAATTAACGAGGCTTACTTTAACATGCCAAACTGTAATCTGCCAGCTGTTCCCCCTCACCTCCCACTGTCCTTGTGAGAGTGGCAGGCAGACAAATGGGAATAGAGAAAGCATGAGTTCTCCAGCCTTAGGTGGAAGTGTGGATTGATGTCTGACTGGGAAAGCAGGTACGGTAGAGCTGATGGCTCTCAGTAGTCCTGCCACCCTGAAATCCTGAGTTCATTACCTGTAAATGGTCCTTTGCCAGCCTGGAAACCATCCTGGCATCACCAAACTTGCAGCTTTTTCCTGACGGTTGGTACTGTTCACGTAGCACCTCTTTCACTGAAATGCTGTTAACTGGATGAAGTATATTTAACAAAAACGCAACTAACTAACTAAAAATCAGGGACAAAATCAAAGTCATTTAAAGTGCTGCCAGACCTAAGGAAAAAAAAAGTCAAACCAAAGTTGTTGTGCTTCTGAAAAATCAGCTTATCTGCTGATGTAATGTCAGAGACTATAATTTCTGGTGTGTTTTTCTTAAGAGCTGTAGTTGCACTTGCTGGGAAGGCAGAAGTTACAAGGGAAAACAGCATCACAAAAGCCTAAGGATTTTAAGTCTTTGGCTCGTGGGCAGAGTGCTGTATTTAATTATTCATTAGACAGTACAGAAGAGTCCCTGCATTATTACTGGTGCAATGTTTTATCAGTGAGTTACTGAAGAACCATGAGTTGGTACTCGTGCCTCTGCTTACTGAGACAAATTCCTTGTGTGTTATTGGTGGGTAACATTCCTAATGCAATTTTTGTGAATCCCTAGGCTCTGTCTCATAAGCAGAAAAATCTTTTGCAAAACTCATGAGATAAGTGCTCAAATTGATAGAAAAGCAACTGAAATAGGTGGATTTTCCCTTTTATTGAGAGCACCTGAACTTAGGAAAGACTACCACATAGGAACCCATTCTTCAAGGGTCTGTTCTTTTAGCAGTATAAAGTAAATTGACTTCACAGAATCACCAAGGTTGGAAAAGACCTTCAAGATCCTCCAGTCATCAACCTATCACCAACAGTACTTGCTAAACCATGTCCTTCAACACAAAATCCAAACGTCCCTTGAACACCTCCAGGGTCAGTGACTCCACCACCTCCCTGTGCAGCCCATTGCAGTGACTGATACTCTTTCAGAAAAGTAGTATTTCCTAACATCCAGCCTGAATCTCCCCTGGCACAGCTTGAAGCCATTCCCTCTAGTCCTAGATTTAAATCTCTTGAAGTAAGCAAAGTCTAGGGTTCAAAGTTCAAACCCATGAGAAGTGTTATTTAAAGCAGAGAGAAAGAGCTCGCGTGTCTCAGCTGTGAGGACATATTGCATCCATTTGTTCTTACTGGACAAAGAGATTTAAACTGGCTTTTATCTCAATGCTCAGCATTCAGTGCAGATTGCGTTGGATATTACAAAATGCTTCACTGTTGTCATTATCTCAGTGTTGTAGAAGAGCAAGTGCAGGATGTGTTTGAAATGTGCAGTTCTGATTTCAACAGTGAATTAATTGTTACTCAATTTCATCTGTTGCAACCTTCAGCTTGCAGGAAGAGCATTTTGGTTCAGAAGTCTGTCTTCTTACCTGGGTTGGTTGTGTTGGTTTGTGAGAGAGAGCAAAGGCATTCAACACAGAAGTCTGTGGTGCCAACAGAGGCTTTGAGCTTTCCTATTTTGAAGGTACTTTTTAAGCGTAACAGAATGATTGCGTGTCAGCTGATATGTGGTTGACTTGTATGTAAGAGCAAATCACGACACATGCAGCTATTGATGTTCTGGAAGAGTGCAGACTTGTGTATGTCAGCACCATTTCTACATAATGAAATTCTTGAAGGTATTTTTTTTAATTATTTTTTTGAGGGAAGTATGACAGCGGGGTAAAGATCACATAGACTTGTAAGGAGATTTCCTGAAACTTGATGCCTCCTAGTTACTAGTTGCACCTGTGAAGAAAGAATCATAGAACGGCCTGGGTTGAAAAGGACCACAAATGATCATCGAGTTTCAACCCCCTGCTATGTGCAGGGTTGACAACCACTAAACCAGGCTGCCCAGAGCCACATCCAGCCTGGAGGGGAAAAAGGAAAAAGCTTAGGGAGAAAGTCATTACTTAGGTGTGATGGGAGAAATCTCCAACTGGTTTGAAATCACTGTCATGAATGTGTAAGAGCCTGTGGATTTTGTAAGCTATTTCCATTACTTCTATCTAGGTGGGAAGAAACTATACAGCAGTGATAAACTGGAGCATGTTTCTCTCAATTCTCTGACTGATAAATTGCTTCCACAGGAGACAGATATTATAGACCCAAACGTTGCATGTGTTATAGGTCAGCCAATGTGTATGTTTCACTTTGTAGACCGGTTACAGAGCAATAGGAAATGTAGTTCAAGATCCTTGCTGATGTTCCTATACCTGAGTGCACTGCTGAGTGGCTGTAATCCTTCCTTGTACCACTAATCTGCTTCTCTGAACCTGTGGGCTTCAGAAATACTGAACCACATTATTGAAGGTGGAGATAGTTTCTATAGAAATTATCCTTTGAGCAGTCTCATTATTGCTGAATTTTCTTCATTCCTGCTTTTGTACGGGACATATGGGAAAGGTAATGTATGAAAATCTGTCTGTACAACTGTTAGCTAATTAGATATGAGCAAATGCTGCCACTGCCACTTACTGCTGACCTCCTGTCTCCTACTGAGAAGTATAATGGAGATATTTTAGCCGTTGTAAAAAGTTGACGTTTCCTTTGCTTGTTCTTAACAACAGAAGTCTTCAAAACATCGATTTCATTTCTTACAATTACCTTAGCTGATGTTGGCTTTATGGCAGTTGTTAGGATGTGACTTGCTCTGGTCCTGCTCCCAGCTCTTCTCTATATCAATACAGATACAGCATTTCTAAAGCAAAAAGTGAGCACACACGCAAATCCCAGGCAGGCAGCTCCTTGAAATACCCCTCAGTCAGGAAATGTGCATGCAGCAGTAACTCGTGTAAGTGTTCATCTTCATAAAGCTGCAAGAGCAGGACTGGAATTCCCCGAGCACAGCATCAAGTCCTGCAAACAACTTGAGGCATTTAGGAGAGCAGTTGGTATCCATGCATTGCTCACATGCAAAAACATTTTTTTGTTCATTGTTTCTGCTTAAGCTCTGTGGATGATGCAGTTTTTACTTCAGCTAACTTTTTATGCACCGCATTCTTAAAGGCGAAGCTGGAGTGCACAGTATCAGTTAGTGATGGGTCAAAGTTACACCTTTGTTCAGAGGAGGAGGGAGGAAATTGAACTCCTAATGTGTTGCCTCACTCAATTGCATTGAAAGCTGGATGGCTGCTAGTGCAACTTTGGACCCTCGTGAGATAGGTGGCAGTTTACTGCAGAGTGCCCAACTGTTAGGCAATTAGTGCCCTCCATCTTACTTACAAAGGTGTTGCTCCTGCATATGACTAAGGGGCCTGCGCATGGTTCTTGTTGTTTCCTTCTTACTGTCTCGTGACTGCCATGCCGCGTGCGGGAAGAGCCTTTTTTTAAACCTGGGTGATATTTCTGTCACAAAACCTGGAGTTAAATGGCTTACTTGGGGAGGAGGGGGAATGAACCAAAGCTTGTCTTTTGGACATATGGTTCTGTCTGAATGCAACGTATGTGGCGGAATTAAATATGGTTGGAAGAATCTTGTGTTCAAAAACTATTTGTTTAGAATAAACAAATCAATTGCTGCTGTTGCAGTAGGCTGTGAAAATCAGCATCCTGAAGTTTGTGTTCTAAATACATATTCTTGACAGGAATTGATTATGTTTAGAAGCAAAATTTTTGTTATTTATGAAGTCTCATTTTGGTTAAGAGTTTACAGTGGTAAAACTGCAGTTTACATTGAGGAAGCTGTAGCATTGAAGTTTGCATCTGATGGGGTGATTCGTGACAAGTGCTGGCTGAGTCTGCCAGAAGGTTGAAGCAGGAGAGCTCGACTTTCACTTGTTTCCCAGAAGACTCATAAGATAAAAAAAAAAATGGAAGTGATGAAAATTGTTCCAAACTGGTTGGGTTTGCAATTGCAGATTGGGAAACATGCTGCCAATATGAATTGAATAACTTTTTTTGTTTTTTTTTTTGGTGACCATAAATATTAGGGCACAGAGTTGACAAACCTTTTGAAATAGTGATGGTAGTTTTGTAGAATATACTGAGATGTTTTAATGACCAAAAAATGGAAATGAATTCAAAACTGGAGTAGTGCTGTTGTTTGCTAATTACTATTAAAATACTTGAGACCCACATATCTTCTCTCAAATCATTTCATACCCTTACGGTTTTAAGCCAATGAAAGGAGCTGAAAGGGGCTTTGCTCACATTTTAAAAGCAGTTTGTAATCTGAAAATCTCTCTGTAGGGGTCTATTTACTGGGGAAATATGGGCAGAAGAAAATCAGAGAAATCCAGGAACGAGAGGCAGCTGAATACATCGCCCAAGCACGAAGGCAGTATCATTTTGAGAGTAATCAGAGGACATGCAATATGACAGGTAAGATAAAGAAATAGTTTATGTTCCTGAGAAGTGGAATTATTTGGGGATTTATAACAGTAAGAAAGGAAGGTGAATTCGAAGTCTTAACTAAGTAGTAGTGTATAAATTATAGTCATCTTATGACTTCTGACTAAATTGGAGGAACAGAGGATTGAAGAGATTTCAAGGGGTCATTGTAATCCTTGGTTTGTGTGTATTCATCTGTTATGTAATGCGTGATTTGTCAGTTCAAGACCCTTTTTTGCATTGCCCTCAACTCCATGTCACATGGATGTGTGAAGCAGCACCCAGAATTTACTGCAGGATTAATTCCCTTATTCATTGTAGCACATGGCTAGTAAACCACACAGAGATCTCAGAGGGTAATTTTGATTTGCAAATATATTCTATTCCCTACAGTTAATTCCCTACACTTGAACAACTGAAAGGTACCAAAAATAGTAGTGATTTTATTCTAGCATTTATCTCTGCATTTGGGAGGACGTGAGTCTGAACACAAACCTTTCAAAACTATTTCTGCAACACAAATTGGGCAGTGTTTTCTTTTCCTCTTGAAATTTGTAGCGGTTTATGAAGTGACTGCAAATGGTTTCTGTGCACTTTGTTTACTCTGGAGCAATTTGTGTTTCTTTATTATCATTTTCCATTTGGTATTGACTGCTGGTATTGACTACTGCAAGGACTAAGCCTTTATTTGCCATTAATTATACAAAGTATGTTCTGTACGGCAGCATGCATTTTTGCCAAGAGTTTTTTATATTTTGTGGTGCTGATCATGTTCTGCGAGTGCTTTTGTTTACCACTTCTTGTTCCCATCGTATAGTGGTAGATTAGAACTTGGATGTTTTGGAAATCAGGCATTTTCTTCCACCAGCTTTCCTTTGATTTAAAATGTACCTTTCCTTTGTTCTCTTACTGTGGGGGGTGGAGGAAACAAAAACAAGCAGAAAAACACTCAGATTTGTTCTTCCTATTTGGGGAAATACAACAGTGTGGATGAAAATCCACTGATTACTCTTATGGGGAGTTGAAGGTGCGTATACACAGATACTGCAGGATGTGAGCATTTCTCTGCAGGCAGTCAGGAATAGCCATGTAGCCATGTAAGGGCAGCATTCTACCCAAGCTGGAAGGAGGTGTGCAGGACAATTGCAGGAGTTCCTAGGTTGCTTGTCCTCCCAGCTTTGTATGTAGAGTAAATAGGACCAATACAGTATAGCAGCTGTCGAGTAAGTGTGAGGTATGGATTAATGATGCTTTTTGTATGCTGAAAAATTTTGGTTTACATTTTTGTTTTTTTTCTTTCAATTACAGTGCTGTCAATGCTCCCTACATTGAGGGATGCCTTAATGCATCAGTTAAATTCTGAGAGTCTCACATCTCTTCTTAAAAATAGGTAAGATTACTTCATTGTGTTGAAGATAACTTGTTTTGATATCTTTTTTTTTTTTCTCAAATGATGTATTTATAATGTAGAGAGTGTGCAGGATTTCTGTTCTGCGTCCTGTTGAATAACTAGTCTTAAGGCATTTTGAAATCACTATATAAATATTTTGTCATGTTAGATGTAGTTTGATAGGTAGGTATAGCATTCTCCAAACTTTACAGGAGATAGTTATCACTTTCAGATGTTTCAGTGAGAGCCATGATTTTTGTTAAAATGCTCTATTTAAGGGAAGATTAGATACTATAAGTAGTTTGTCTTAAATAGACTATCTTTAACTATGTTTTTAGTTGGAAAAATGTTTATGTAATCTTACGGAGATCAGACATGATTGGTAGTAGAAGGTATCTGAAATGATGTTACAAATGGAAGTGAGCTATCAGAAGTTAAAGAGGCATGTCATGCTTTATGACAAATGTCTCCATGTCAGAAAACACCTTTGTTTTCATTAGAACTGTAAGAACAAGTGGCATATTAAATAAAGTGTGTAGTAGCATGCCTTAAAAGCTGCTTGGCATTGAGGAAGGAGTAAAAGTGTTACTGTAGGCCGTTAACATAGGATTTCTGACTCCCCCAAGGCTACCTTTCCTGTTCAGCTCCTGCTAACTTATTTATATAGCTGTAACTTCAACTGTCCAGCATTTAATAAATTGGCAATCCCATCATTGACTTTTTTTCCAGTCAAATACTCTCCCAAGAACCTGACAGAATGTGATACTTGGAATGGGAATTATGCTTAAATAATGGCTTTGTAATATGTGATGTGAGAACCTCGGTACTGTAGTTGAGTGATAGTGAACCCAAATGAGAAGTAACTGGAAAAAGTTAGTTTGTATGGAATATTTAATGTACTTCCCATAGTTCTACTTAATGAAAATTAACCTGAATGAATAAGGGATGTTGTGGATGACCAGATTTGTCTTCTGGACTTTAGTCTCTTATTCCATGTTCAAAACAAGTAGTGGCCTTGTTTGTTCTCCCTAGCATGCGTTCTTTGATCAGAATGTAGCCAGTGTCATCAATTTGTTGAAGTATTTGGAGCAGTTTATGGATACAGAAGCAGACTTCTGAATTCCAATAATCCCAGCAGAAATGGTGATGGGACTTCTGCATAACTTCTGTTTTGCATTTCTGAGAACAAACAAACGTGTGTGTGTGTGTGTGTATGTTTAAAATATTGGTTACATGCAGCTGAGACCATGAATATCCTTGGATACTCTAATTTGGAATGTATTTTACAATAGAGTTTGTGCTTCCTTTTTTGACTTATGCAGAGGAAGTTCTAAATAGATGCTTGAACTTTTTGAAGGGTAGAGAAGGGGCTGGGAGGGACAGATCATGAAATGAGGCTGCAGAGCAGGCTTTAAAGAGAGCCTTTCAAGAAGCTTTGCATTCAGGTGCTGTACACAAAGGTATAGATTTGTTTTCTTTCCGCTTTGATTTTGGAAGATTAATCACATGGCTCTGGACCCTTCCAGTGTCACTCATGTTGCCTATGCAAGAGTAGATCCAGAGACATTCATCTTTAGCATCCGTAAATATACAGTCTTTTTCTTTCATCATCTGAGAAATCCTTTAACTTAAAATCCTTTCAGTTCCTTAAATTTAAAACCTTTTTACATTATTTTAGTAATTTGGGGAGGATAGGAACAGATTGGGAGTATAAGCAGACTGACTTCTTCAGCCTTCCAGGTAAACTTTTAAAAAGTGAGCACCACACAAGGTTACCAGTGCTCTTGTTCTGTCTTCTGTCCTACCCTTCTCAAATCAGTGAGATTGAATGAGGTGGGGAAAGTAGTTGCTGCTGTAGTCTTGCAGATGTTGCATATCTCCCATGTACTCATTACAAACTTTATTCCAAAACTCTGTTTATGTTTGTATTACCATCTGCGTCGCTACTGCTTTTCTAAGTAAAGGAATGCGAAATAAAAATTGAGTAGCAGGTGAAGACTGAAAAATCTATTTCCATTAAGCCACTGTTAGGCTTAATGCTTGCAGTCTTAAGCTGTTAACTGATTGTTGCCTTATGTTGTGAGAAAAGACTTTGTAAAAAAAAAAAAAAAAAAAAAAAAAAAAATTATTTTTTTTACTGTAAAATGTGTTTTGACTCAATAGATACAAATGCATTTGGCTCATGTTGGTGTGCTGTCCTGCCTTCTGTTGGCATAGAAAGTATATTGCTTATAAGTAAGGCTTTTTGTATTGAGGCTTGTCATGTGTTTCACCTACAGAAATATTACTGTCTCTTTTTGAAGTCTTTGGCTTTTGAATGAGTTAAAGTTGTTGATTTTGCTTGTAAAAAGTGAAGTGCTATGGATTCTTCTCTCCTTTTTTTTCTTTTTTAAATCTTCTTCTTTCTGGACTTGTAGATTTAATAGTTTATAATGCCAATTTGTGTGCATTACTTAATGGCAGTGAGCTGAAAAATTATCTGTGATTGATAAAATGGTCAAACTAATGCTAAAGTACACGTGTTTCAGAAAGATAAAAGCATTGCTTAATGGTTAACTGAGCCTGTGAAAAGTCTATATATTTTATTAACTAGATTACTGTAAAATCTAAGAACAGGTTGGTCTGCACTGTGTGTGCCAAATATTTAAGTGTTACTTCTGATCCCAAGAAATTACCAAATGTTTCTCTAAGTTACTTCTGCGAATTGATTCCTCCACAATGAGATACTGTAGATGTTACTTACTGATACTGATCCACGTGAGAGAAGGGCTGAATTAAACTCTTGGGTGGTTAGCTCGCTCTTATGTCTGCTATTGCATTGCTAAAATCATGTCTCTTTACTAGTCCTAAATATGCCATAGGTCTTAGTTAGATGCATTTATGCATGCAGGCAGGGAAAACAGGCAAGTTGAATCTGAGCCAGCAGCGTGCCCTGGGAGGCCAAGGGGTGGCCATAGCCTGGTGCAACAGGCCCAGTACTGCTGCTGAGTGATGGTGAGGGGTGTCCTGCACTGCTCTGCACAGTATGGCTTCACCTCCAGCACTGGGTGCAGGTTTGGGTGCCGCAGTATAAGGACATCAAGCTATTAGAGCATTCCACGGGGGGGCTACAAAGATGGGGTCTGGAGGGCCAGGTGTATGAGGAGTGGCTGAGCTCCCTTGGTTGGCTCAGCCCAGAGCAGAGGAGCTGAGCAGAGCCCTCGTGGCAGCTGCAGCTCCTCACAGGGAGCAGAGGGGCAGCGCTGAGCCCTGGTCTCTGTGACAGCCACAGGGCCCGAGGGAACGGCATGGAGCTGTCAGGGGAGGGACAGGCTGGGTGTCAGGAAAAGGTGCTTCACCAAAGGGTGGTGGGCATGCAACAGGCTGCCCAGGGCAGTGGGCAAGGCCCCAAGTTTGGATGATCCTGTGTAGAGCCAGGGGTTGGACTCAATAATCCTTGTGGGTCCCTTTGAGGTTGGGTATTCTGTAATTCTGTACCGTCTGTGTTCTTGCTTTTTGTCTGCAGAGCATATTTATCTTAGAAATCAGACAGACCAAAAGGTAAATATATTTCAGTGGAAGAAAAACCCTTGAGTTTACGGCATTTACGTGGGCAGACTACTTTTCCACATATGGTCACAATCGCTTTGTTTTTAGATAACCTAGTCAGTATTTTAAAACCAAGTCAAACAGTGGTAAATCTCCTAAGCAAGGAAGATAGAAATTCTGATCCTTTGCTTATTATATACAGGTAGGTACAGAAAGCCCTACTGATCTGAGGTCTATGTTAAATATATGCACAGTCAAGGTCCTAGGAAGAACTACTTTATGTGCAATCCATGTTTTTTTTCTGACTGCTTAGTATAGGAACTCAAAATTGATGGTATAAATGTAATTGACATCAATAAATACTGTATTTAAACATTTAAATTTGGGTATCTTTTCTGTGACTTCATGCATTGCTTATATACTGTTTTCTTGAATGAAGTAAATCACTGTAGAGGTAAATCTGATGTAAGTAATTATAATAGTTAAATGAATTTGCCTTGGAACACTGACGTTTTATTTAATGTGTTTATTAATGTCCAAGGAAAATATACAGTGCTTGATAGTTCAATTTATTTTTTTCAATTTATAATAATAATAATAATTAATTATATAATAATAATAATATATTAATTATAATAAATTTTTTCAATTTATTTTTTTCCCCACAGGCCAGCAAACAAGTTAGAAATATGGGAGGATTTAAAGATAATAAGTAAGTGTAAATGAATGATTCCATCTACCTAGTATTTAGTATAAATCTTAAAATGATACCGTTCAAAGTGCACACTTCACACTAGAAGAAGTTGTTTCAGCAGGTACAAAGATAGTGTGACGTGATATTGAGCAAGTTTCTCATACGCTCTCTCAAAAAATTTCCTTATTAAGGACTTTTTCATATTACCCATGGAAGGCAGATGCTCAAAAACCAATGTGAAGGATTTTATTGGCCCTCGTATGTTATCCTGCTCAACAAAACTTTGTGAGGACTTTCTGTGCAATCACAGAAAAATCAGTCTAGTTTTTCACAAAGTTCAATTCTGAACATAGCAGAAAACATCTCTCAGTAATGTACTCCAGCCCTTGCACAGCCAACAGTTTTCTCTTTTCAAGCCTGTTTGAGGTCACCATCACAGCAGAAGTTATGTGAACCCTTTGGTTCATCATTTTATATATTGGTTGGTGCAAGCAGTGGAAGGGAAGTCAGATAACTACGTAGTGAAAAATCACTAGACTTTTAAATATTATTTAATACTTCTGATCTGTTACTTCCATTTATTATGCCTGCCATCACTGCTTCCCTGATTTTGGCTACTTCTGCTGTAGGTAACTTTTTTTTTTCTCCCGTAACTGCTGTTAGACATTCTGTGTCTTAGTTGTGTGAGGGTTAACACACTTTGTGTGTTTCGTGGCCTAAGATAGAAAGAGAATCTGACAGCATTGCTACAGGGTACACCTTCTAGAGCAGTTTCTATAATTATATGAGACTTTTGGGCACTGGAACAGGCTCCCCAGAGAAGTGGTCACAACGGCAAGCTTGAGTTTAAGAAGCATTTGGACAATAGTCTCAGATCTGCAGTTTGATTTATAGGTGATCCTCTCTGGGGCTGGGAGTATGACTCTGATCTCTGTGCATCCCTTCCTACTCGGAATATTCTCTGATGCTGTGATTAAAATGGGGCAGTGCTTCAGCAGATGCTCCTGTACATATTAGACTCATGGTAATTTGGGGCATGTTTTATGAAAGTATGTGTTGAGACAACCAATGAGAGAAATCGCTGTGTGTTTAAAAATCGTCAGTACTTTTGGGTCTTGGGAACACTCTCCTTTATTGCCTCGCCCTTATTTCCTTGACTTTGAAATTGCTGTGTTGTCTCTCCTCAAGGTTTCACAAGAAGCATTGTTGCTGTCTATAGTACCTGTATGCTGGTAGTTCTTTTGCGAGTCCAATTAAATATTATTGGCGGTTACATCTACCTAGATAATGCTGCAGTCTGCAAGAATGGCACAGTAAGTTTCTTCTTTTAAAGGTTGAAATTTCATATTCTTGGGAGTGAAAGAATAAGTTAGTGAGAGATAGGCATAGCTCAGCAATATTTGAATGAACAAGTGTCGTAAGATGGGGAGACATGAAGGGATTACTGATGGTAAGGTTTGTTGATATTTTATTGTAGTCTCTAAATTCAGATTATTTGGGGATAATATTGCTTAACAAAATACTAGCAATATTGAATAATACCTTTTGTCTGCGTTTGTATTGCTTTAAGACAGCCACTTCAATCTGAGCATCAAAGTTAGTCATTTCTTTGCTTTCTGTAGTCTTCTGTGCAACATTGTGCAAATTATCCAAGATGTGTATGCAAATACATCTATAAATGCTCAGTTCTTCCTAGCTTGTACATTAATCTCCTCAGTTAAATTCTCTTAGCGTTAAAGGAAATGAAAGAAAGACTGGTTAGTTGTTGGTTTTTTTTTTTAACTCTAGAAGGCCACCTAACGAAGTATCTGTTGATGAGGTGGAAGCTTGGTTTTTGTTTATACAATGTATCTACTGCTCAATAATAGTAGATTCTAGAGTAACTAGATGTCTAGAATAAGATCTGCAAATTGCTGAACAGCTCACCTAAAAATAATGAATGCAAACTTTTATTAGTTGGTATATGCTCCTCTCAGATCACTCTTGCTGGGAGTCCAGGGACAGCACGTCAAGGCAGGTCTGAAGGGTCTAGAAAAGCTTTCATTAGGGAAGCCAGAGATGATGGAGGTCGCGTTTGCATTTTGTAAAGTCTGAAAAGGCTTTTTTGGGCAAAGAGGCTCTGGAGTAGAAATGTTTCCTTTCTATTACTTTTCCAGTAGAGGAGTAGGTTGACAGAATCAGCTTTGAGGCACTTAGCTGGAACAAACAGACATTCTCTTCAACTCCCCAAAGCTTTGTTTTTTATCAAGGGATTTCTCTGGTTTCTGCTAGGGTTGAGCATAAATATCCTATTTCAGCAGGTTTAATTTTTAGGGTGGGGACTGTTATCTCCCAGTTCAACTATGACAACTTGTAAATGTAGGTGTCCTGCTGTTCCTCATAGCCTGCTTAAGTATAATGAAAATATTGGTAGGAACATGTGATTGGAAGGAACCACAGCAAGCTGTGAAATACTAGGGAAGATACAATTAATTTTGAGATCTTCTCTCAGTTTTTCTTTAAAGAAACTTTTCATTTTCATATTCTGTATTTTCCAGTACTGTGATACAGAGGAAACTTCTCAGCAGATAACTACTAAGTTACTAGTTATTTTCCAGACCTGCACTGAGAGTGGGGGACTCTGCCTGCTGTAGGGTATTATAAAGAAGAAGGAAAATGTTTGCTACCTGTTCAAAATGATTTTTTGTGTTGTTTTCTATTTTGTTTCACAGAACTTTTTCTTTTCCCCCCACAGACACCATTAGCTCCCCCTGAGGTTCAACAGCAATATTTATCAAGTATCCAGCACCTGTTAGGAGATGGTATGATATTTTTTATAAACCGCTTACAGGATGCTCCTTTTCTTTAGACTTAAGCAAATAATTAGAATAACTTTGACACTTTTTTTTTGTTCTAGGACTGACTGAGTTAATAACTGTTGTTAAACAAGCTGTGCATAAAGTTTTTGGAAGGTAAGAGGTCCGTATTTCCTGGTAGTTTGCTTTTTGTCTTTACTGTGGTGACTGCTCCCACAGCAATGAGTTTTATTAGAATTTAAAAAGTGAAAAAAAATGCAGACTGACTTTTTCCAAGACCAAGCTTTTGGCAGGTTGGAAACACAATAGTGCAGACCAGTATCAATTGGGATCCTATAGTGAGCATATTATCAGTAAATAAACACTACATCATTACAATGTTGACTGCAAAATTAATAGTCTTTCCATCTTTTCAGTATTTCCCTTAAGCATGCCCTATCTCTTCTGGAGCTGGAACAGAAACTAAAAGAAATCAGGAAAGAAGTGGAACATAAAGATTCAGATCAGGTCGCACCTTATTCTCCCTTATGTCATTATCTGATGCCAGATGAAGAAAACCCTCTCGCTACCCAGGTACTTGTTTTATTTGTTTCATCTAACTTCTTTATTTTGGAGAGGGAGGACTGCATAACTACTCTAATTACATTGTGCTAACTGAATCTTCAATAAATGGCAGTACCTCTTTCTTTATAAATGTGAAGTATCCTTATCTCTTTGATCTAGGATGAGAAAGTTGTACCTTCTTCACACTTGATTGAAAATGTCAACTTTGAACTTGGAAACACAGCCATGTTAGTGCTTTTAGCCCATGATTTATGCCGTAGCATAGTGCTGCTTAACATAGTCCGAAGCTGAAATGTATTACCTTTTACTTGTGCACCAGCAAAGAGCCTGAACAGTTGGCGTCATCTCTGAAAGAGATGCTGTGCTGGAAAAAGTGATGGTGTGCCCAAGTCTTTTTGTTGATTTGAGAAGGAAAATGAACAGGAATCAGGAGCCAGGCGTATCTTATCTAAGTGGCAACATTAATGTAATTTCCCAAATTTTCTAACAGTATTTGACTCCAGCCATATCACAGGTTGGTGAAAACTGGTTCTCAACTTGATATTATACTGGTATGAGGAAGAAACTGAGGTTTCATTGTGTGACCCCATGCATTTATCTCTTAAAGTTCAGCTAACATGCAGTGTTTATTTCAGCTGCTTGATTAGCATGGTATTTTCTGCCAGTATTTTTTTAATATATATATATATATGTGTGTGTGTGTGTATATATGTGTGTATATATATATAATTTTTTTTAAAGTAAAATAAAAAATCACACACAAAACCAGTGACCAGTTACAAGCAACACACATAAATTTATAAAGAATCTGTGATAAATTGTTTGTATTAAATAGATGTCTTAACAGTCATCTTGACTTAATGCCATGACATGAAATTATTTCCACCCTTACTTTTATGATTCGTATAGATTTCTCACTAATTGGCATCTTTCTTGTTTTTTTCTAGGCTTGTGGACTCACAGAAAGAGACACTGCAACAATTAAATTACTTAATGAAACTAGAGATATGCTGGAAAGGTATACAGAAAATATTCAAATCGAACTCCTTACAGCTACAGTTTATGTGAGACAATTAGTTTTATAAAGAAAGTGTTGAACTTTCATTTGCTAGATGTGACCTTTCAGCCACTGTGCTGCCTTAAATTTTTATATTCCATAATTAAAGGCTGGGATTTTCAAAATTTGAGTGCTTTGAAACTTGTAAGAAATAATCTTGCCTTAATACTACAAGGATGCTTTATCACAGCTAACTGGTACCTCTTCCTCACATTTTCTTAGTTATGTAGGGAAAGAGAAGTACATCCCTTCTGACACAAATTGAGAGTGATTATTTTGCATTTACTTGCTTTGATAAAATGAACACCAGTTTTGGCTTATCAGAATTTGTTTTTAATGCATGGTTTTATGAGTGGTTATATGCATCCTTCTACAAGAGCTACTGCAGTGAGGCTTCTAAAATGAGCACTGAATAGGAATGAAGAGAGTCAAATGCCAAACTGTTTTTAGAATGTAACTGCTAGACATCTGGGGCATTTTAGGGATGAGTCCCTCAGTGCTACTGCCTAGTAAGAAATAGGTAAGGAAGGAATGCTTTCCATTTTATCTTTTAGTATCTCTAGGGTAGTGTTGAGGTTGTTGACTGTTTTGCTGTGGAGATACTTGGAGAGATTTGAGAACCTCACATACTCTTGAGATTTGCAGGGGTTTTGGTTTTGGAAAAATGAATCCTAAGAATCAAAAAAGCACATATTTACTTCTTCAGTCCAGACTTCAGTACGGTTTTGAGCACGTGTTTAAACAGAGGATTCAGTCAACTGCTGGACAATATGGCGGAGTTCTTCAGACCTACTGAACAGGACTTCTCTCAGAATGGCTCTGTAAATAGGTAAATGTTTTTTTTTGTTGTGGTTCTTACTGTGACGTACTATCACATGAATTCTAAAACAGGCAGGGATTTTCTTGCCTACTTGAAGTTCTCATGCTAGAAATAACTTTGTTTCTTGCTTTTCAAGAATAAATATGGTCTCTTTGCTTTGGTCAGAGAGCAAGGAGTATTGCTTGTTTCTCCCCAGCCAAGAACCCGCTGGAATTTTCCTGAAGTGTCTTTCTTACCATCACTTGCACATCTATAAGCAGAAATCAGAAGATCGATACTTTCCAATTTTTGCCAGTGCTGTACAAACAGACTGCTTTTGAGTTTGGGAGATGTCCTTTCACCATTCCCCTAGGAGGCTGGGAGAAAGATAGCTCTGTATGTCCAAGTCTCTGACTGTTAATTACAATAGTTCTGAGGGAAGGTAGACATAACTGTGGTTCTCCAAGTAAGTGTAATCTACAGAGCTTTAGGTTCTTGTCTGGTATGTTGGAAAAAATGCAAACATTCAGGATCTTCTCCTTTCTAAAAGACTGTTAGAAAAACAGGTTTTATTCTGAGGTTATCTTGGTTTTAGAACATGTCAGTGTGTTAGAAATCTGAAAGCTACGTTCAAATCCTAGAAATATAATTCCTAAAATATTAAAATGAATACTTTGAATAATAACTTTGTATGTTTGTTTTAATAACTCATGGCTCTTAAATAGTAATGTTTGTATTGAAATGTAGCTATTTACATTGCTTAAAATATCCCAAAGGCTTTAGCTTGGCTGTCTCTCCTCAGCTTGGTTAAGAGCTTAAGGGTCTGAGATTATAGAAGGACACGTCTAGCAACTACCTTACATATATACACAGGCAAATACTGTATCTAAAACATTCATTTTGCATGAGAAGCAGTTGTGAAACTGCAATAGGATGGCCAATTGATAAAATTTTCTTTGGTAGTTCTATATTAAATGAAAAACTTAATAGGGACAAACCTTCATCTTGTACATTCCAGTTTGTGGTCTATCCAAAACTAACTTCTTCCAACTCTTATTTTTGAAGTAGAAATTATGTAGATTAGTAATAATCACAGTTGTCTTACAAGTATCCAAGCAACTCTACGTCAATAATTTTTGTTCTCTTCTAGTCTCTCCAGCATCAGTCTTCCTTTAGCCAAGATAATTCCAATAATAAATGGACAGATCCATTCAGTATGCAGTGAAACACCCAGTCACTTTGTTCAGGTAAGAATCTAGCTTCATTTAAAATATCTCTAGTGAAGTTTTGAGACGTTATTTCTTTTTAGTAAAGTACCTTATTTTGTTTAATTTCAGTGGCTTAAATAAGTAGGAATAAGTAACATAAATTAATTTTTTTGATTTAGAAAATTAATTTTTGTAGAGCCGTACTTTCCAAAAAAAAAAGCTTTTTCTCCTATAATCTCTTCCCTTAATGAAACAATGCAGAAGCAGAAAAAAAAAACAAAAAACCCAAGTCTCAGCTTGGTTGTATTTGGAGTTCTGTTCAGGAATTTCATGCAGTTGAAAGGTCTGAGTTAGATCTCAGGAGGAGTGCCAGGTGCTTTTCTCATGATGGGCACAATTACATACTGCAGTAAAACCAGAAGCGTGGTGGGTGTAGTTTTGATTAAGCAAATGTATTCCTCAAATTTCTTCTAGGACTTACTGATGATGGAACAAATGAAAGATTTTGCTGCTAATGTTTATGAAGCTTTTAGTACCCCTCAGCAACTAGAGAAATGAACTGCACATTAATAGGAATAGATCATGTATTTATAACACATCTTTGTGACTACTGCTGAGATTGGGGTTCATTTTATAACGGCGTAGGAGTGGCTGAGCAGCAGGAAGAACATACTGAAAAAACTGGGAGTGAGCCCATAGTCGTTCTCTCTAATACAATTCTATTTCAAATGCCAATCAAAATATTCTTGTTGAAAGAATCACTGTATGTAAAGAATTTTCTATTAAAAAGTTGTTAAACTCTTGCATAATTTGATTATTTTTATTGCATTTGAAAGGCATCTCGTGGCAGTACTTCTAGAAGTTACTAAAACAAACAAACTTGGTGGCCTGGGGGGGTGTATGGTTTGGGAAAAACATTAATTGAAGAATAACAGAACTGAGTAAGGGTTCACATTTTTCTTTTGTTGTAAAAGACTTCTCCCCTTGACTTTACAAACATTGCTCCTCATTCTTCAGAAAGCCTTTGCCAACTGCTGCCCATGCCTCTTGAACAAGTTGGGGGTGCTCTCTTTGTTACTTACAGAATGTAGATTTTTAGACGTTCTTGTTTATGCTGTTCAAACAGCTACATTGTACACATTAACTTGTAAATATTTTATCTTAATTTGTATTAATTTTGAGGCTAATTGTCTGTATTGTAATAAAATATTTTAATGTAAACTTTGTGCGTGTGTAATAACATTACTTAGCAGAAAAAGCAATACCTTATTTGGCCTGTCACTTAAAAGCCTCATGGAGTTGAAAAAAGAGAGTGAATTTAACTTACTCAGTAATAGTTTTGCATTTATTAAGATTACTCAAGCCTTTGGGTTCTATACTGAAAATATTCCTGTTTTTTGTTGTCTTTCATCTCCTGCTCCATGCAGATCTCACATGCAGGCCTACCATTCTTAGTCCTGATATGTGATGAGTTTGGGAATTTTTCAACTGGCCACAATCCAACTCATGCTTAAAATGTTGTCTTCTTGCCAAAGCTGAGGAGCCCTAGCAACAAATCCTTAAAAAAAAAAATAATTGCTGAAATATAGTTTTTGTTGTTGTTAATAGTCCATAGTTCACAGAAGGCACCCTGGTAACTGTAAAAATAATGGATGTAAACAAGAGCCAGCCTTAACTTTATGACATGATACAAAACATAGAAGAAAAAAAAAAAAGTAAATAATCAGAACTCGTGGACAGAATTACTCAAAATAGTTCTGTTAGTGATTCTCATTATCTTATCATTAGAGATTAAAATGTACATATGCATTGCCTCCATGCATTCATGATTAATTGCTAGTCATTATGAGTGTTCTTGCAGCTGCAGTATATCCATTTCAGCCGAAGCTGCCAGATGTAGCACACAACTGGAAAGTTCATTCTTTTAAGGCTTATATATATGCATTATTTTTTTTTCTTTTACAATATTTCCATAAAACTCTCAGTTCTCTTGCACTGAAAGTATACAACTTTTATGCACAGTTGTCTGACCTGTTGACCATGAGCTTGTTCTTTCTCAGGGCTTTAAAAAAAAAAAAAAAAAATCTACTGCCCCTTTTCACATAACTGCCAAGAAACAGACTAAAAAAAGCGAAGAGGTCAAGATAAAGGCTCAGTTATTCACACAAACTCAGAGAAACTAGCTGTACAATAGATAGGTAAGTAATTAGATTTCGTATGAGGTTCATTTCATTCCATCTTGTATAACAGTCTTTTAAAAAAAAAAAAAAAAAAAAAAGTAGATGTTTCTCAGTCAAGTAGTAGTTCAAAGCCAATGATGAGAAACTGGGCAGGAAGAAAGAACACCAACAATGTAACTTCTGTACTACCCAAGGCTCCAGTGTATGGCTCAGTTTACATCAGTCAGTTGCAAGGTCCAGCCCCACTGACACGGCAATTGCTTCAGAGTTAATTGAGGTAGAGCTACGACAATTCCCTTTTCTCCCATTGCAACCCATTTCAGTGGTTCCTTGTAGCCAACTAACTTCACCTGAAATTGAAACAGTAAAATTAGAGCAACGTGTTTTTGAATGCATATAATTGCATATTCAATTAAGGAAAAGTTCTTCCCATTCTACTACCCATTTATTCTTAAATGCCACTTATCAACTGAGTGAATAATAAGAATAAAGGTAATGGGAGAAGTACTTGCTAAGCAGACGTGTCAGTAGTAAAGCTAGTGAGATTGTGTCTAAATCTGAGACCTTCTTAAGTCTATAAAAGGTCTGCAAACATGTCAGAAATCTCTGAGATAGGATCTGGGTCTAAGTAGGAATCAGGTACCACAGCAGTGATGTTAGTATCACCTGTTTACGAAATGCCTCTTTCCTTGTGGTAGACCTTGTAGTTTTGAATAAGCATCAGCTTTTACAGAGTACAGACAGGTTACTCAGAACAAAGCTGATCTAAAGAGCCCCTCCCTAGTAAGAGCACATAAATCTTTTGTGGACATTTGTTTGCCAGCTTGTATGAAACGTTGAGAACAATGGGACAGTGTAAGGGAACGACTGAAAAAAAAAATAATCAGTCTCTACCCCTAAGGAATGTTTCTCCTGCTCACAGATAGTCCAGATGCTTCTTTCAAATTCAAGGTGCATTTACATTTGCATTTTACATAATATTTAGATGGTACTTTTAAAGTTTTTTTGCCATATCACAGACCTGTTTCATTATCAGTTAGATTCTTTTCAGTTGAAACTAAACCAGGGCCTTGTATGTTTTTACTCAAGTTCTTTGCAGAGTGAGTGGTGAGGTGCTGGAACAGGCTGCCCAGAGAGGTTGTGGATGCCCCGTCCCTGGAGGTGTTCAAGGGATGGGGCCCTGGGCAGCCTGGTCCAGTATTAAATGGGGAGGTTGGTGGCCTGCATGTGGCAGGGGGATTGGAGATTCACAATCCTTGAGGTTCCTTCCACCCCTGGCCATTCTGTGATTCTGTGATCAGGGGACTGAGTCCAGGAACACAAATGCATTTCAACAGCTAGTGAGCATGTGGTGATGAGACCAGAACAGAGCTAACTCAAAGCAAGCCCCTTAAGTGCACATAATGTGGATATTAAGATCTGAGCACCAAGTGTTCTGCTGTGTAATTCTGCCTCTGTTGGGTCTGGGTACTTGCTAATGGAGTTGTGGTATCGACGTCCTTAATTTATGACCACTGTATATCTAGGGTCATATAGAGTTACATATAGAGTCACTGTTGTGTCCCTGGACATCTAAAACCTTTGTGTGCATCATAGTATCATAAAGATGGATATTGATCATAAAGGCCATCCTGGGGTAGAATCTACAGTGGAAAGAGGTGAGGTGGCATAGTTGTTTTCCTGCTATTTGGCCTCTTTTTAGGATCCTCAGTTTGAAAGCTAAAATGTATCCCACCAGCAATTTAGCATTAACCTTGATAAGAAACATACCAGTAGGAGGTCTATGACAAGTAAGGTCCCAGAATGAAAACTAATATTCTGCTGGGTCTCTTCCACACTACTCTATCCTAACAGTTACACATTCCCAAAGATGCCAGAAAATAAAATAAACATAGATGGAACACAACAAATACTAGATATGTTTTCCATGTACCTTCAGACTATGTTCATTTCTTGTGTTACGTGTTATAAACCTCACTGTTCTACAGGGGGAAGCAAGAAGTGTCTTCTTACCTGTGTTTCTGCAAGCCTTGCCTGTGGCTCACCAAGTTCCAGAATCCCAGAGTTTGGCCAGTTAAGGAAGATGGCATTTACTTTGCCTTCCTTTGGTCTGAACGTGTACCTGGATGGAAATGGGAAGCAGAAACATGTCAGTCTTTCCCTGTAAATTTTCTGGAGCAGTATACATCACACTTTCTGGAAAGACTGGAAAAGAACTAATATGAAAAGTTAGCACTGATTACATTTTCAGATGCATAGCCTTCATTTCATAAAATCAATCCCCTTTCTCAAAGTACTATTCCTTGAAAATACATTCTGACCAATTAGAGGTAACACAGATTAACAATAAACTGAATGTAGAGGTAAACATCTCCAGTAACTTAAGCAAGCAGATGACAACTGCTGCCTTGTCATGTAAGAACGAGGATTTTGGAGGGTAGGGGAAACCATTAACAGATAATTGTGGGTTACATTCAGAGAAAATTCACATCTATAAGGAAACAGAGGCATTACACTGAAGGACTTAGGATCATGTGGAACTGTACATCTTCCACCTTGCATAGTTAATTTTTTAAAAACCAAATTACAGCAGACATTATCTTGGTGAAGAATTTTTTCTTGATAGCCAACTTATCTATCTACATTATGTCACTGGAAATCTTGAGCATTCATCTGAAGTATTTCTCCCACCTTACTTCATTGTAATTACATTTTTTTGTCCTCAGAAGCATTTTTATTCAAGGCCACAGCCAGATGGCCAAATCTTAACTGGAGCAAGAGTTAAACAAAGCCCAGTGAGGCAGAGAAGTGGCTGAGACCAAAAGCCTGATGGATTGTTATGGAGTTACAGCAGCAGTGAGGCACAAAAGCAGAGCAGAGTTCATAGGCTGGCTGAATTTACTGACCAAGCAACTGCTAACATCTTCCTTTTTAAAGGTAAAAACTCACAGAAATACAAAATACATTAGATCCCTAGTTTCTTTCTCTCCCCTTTATCTCTGAAGAGCAACACCAAGATTCCTATTGTATAGATTTGTACTATATAGACTTTGTAGCAGTTTTAGTGGGAGCTATTGGTAATAGGTGAACGGTTGGACTGGATGATCTTTTAGGTCTTTTCCAACCTTGGTGATTCTATGATTCTATATTTCTGGATTTTGTTTATTGTTTTTGTTGCCAATTCCACTCAGAACCACTAAAGAAACTCCTGCAACCTTCCTTCAGCTCTAGCATCATCCTGGAGCTACATTCTCTGACACGCACTGTCTGCATTCTTAGACACGCTTCCACACGCAATTTCTTAAATTAACAAAAGGGTTCATTTCTTCAGAACAAGCTGATGATTTCTGCAGTATGAAGCCTCAAGAATTTTAAAATTAAAATTTTAAATGTTAAAACCTCTACAGCTTTACGCCTTACCACACTTGTGGTGTGACCGTGTCGTTCTGTGCTCTCCACGGTTTCGTTCCATAGATGGCTTCTCCATTGACTTTCAGCCAAGCACCCATTTGCCGCAGGCGTTCCTCAAAGATAGCAGCGACGCGGCCATCGTGAGTGGGCCCGATATTCATCAGGAGGTTTCCTCCACAAGACACTGTTTCTACAAGTTGCTGAAATGTTTTTAAACACGTAGACAGAACAGCGGTCACGATTAATGGAATTACATATTTGAAGTTCTTACTACAGCCTGGTACGTTGCTTCGGAATGATGGACTGGACTAGTTAGTGCAAGTTCAGACTCTGGAGGTCCAACATCCCAACAACCAATGCAAAATTTAAGCTCCCATAAAACAAAAGCTCCACTGTCAGTTTGCGTGGCAGAAAATATCCAAAAATACATTTTCACACCAATACATCTGACTGATTCCATTAGAATCAGATCCTACTTTTTTTTTTTTAAATTTCAACTTCTGCTGGAATTTCGCAAGAGATTTCCCAGTAGAACACTTACAGGATTATTTTTCTGCATGAAAAGGGCTAGCAGATGCCACTTCATTTTTACTGAAGCTGGGAAAAGCAATGTTTTCTCTATTTTATGGCCACATATCTAAAACACCATGAAGCTTTAGATATTTAGTACAGTTTTCATAAAATATGCAGAAGAAAATGAAGCAGTTTTAATAATTTATGTAGCAAAGAATAAATCTCATCTCTAAGGGTACCATTAGTATCTCCCATGTATTCCTCCTTTTTTAAGTGAAGCCAGTGATAGAATGGGCATTCATTCGTATGATTTATTCATCACAGTCATAGACCTTAGTGCCCACAAAATTCACACTGTGCGTTTCTGTAACATGCAGTGTACAGACTGAGAATCAAAGAAAATGTTCCTACTATAGAAAGAGCGGGATGGAAGAGGTTGGAATTCAAAAGAGAATGGAAGATTGAATCAGCACAAAAAAAGAAATCCTATATTTAATCTAGATTTTCAAAGGGTTCATTCATCATGGAACACAGCCTTTACTAGACCTATTAATCCACAGAGGATCTTAAAGAAAAAGAGGTAATACGTATTAATGACATTGTCTTTTAGCTCAGCCCCTGAGATTACATGCTCTGGCATCAAGAGTCTACATTAATGCCATATTGTGAACTTGACAATTGGCAAACAAGCTGATGATTGTTCTAGAGAGTCCATGATGCATCTGTGTTCCCATCCACACTGCCCTCCAGAGATCACAGGCTGAGACTCTGGAGTCTGAGGAACAAACAGCTGGAGATAAACTACTGAATGAATTAAAACCAGCTCCTCTGAAGAGAGATTGCTTCAATTTGAAATTGTCTTTTGCAAGGACAATACAAAGGACATGGATTAAGCAACAACAATCTTCCTCTTCAGGAGCTGAATTTTGTAATTGAACACATTTTATCTCAAAGACAAGACTTCTTATCATTCAGTGTCCTAAGCTTCCAATCTTTTTTTCAAATATTTTAGACTAGCAAATGGAATCAATGTTTTAACACTGGCTTTCTGTATTTGCTCATGTTTATCTGTATGCCTGTAGCACAAGTGTCTTTTTTTCTTTCCCTTTTTTAAGTGTGAAATGGAACAAAAGGAAAGTTTCTCGCTGCTAACTGAAACAGTATTAACTTACAAAGTTAAGAAGAAGGGGGAAAAAAGACACAGCCTTCAAGCAAGAGCCCCTGTGAAACTACAGCTGTTTGCTTCTTCTCAACTCAGAAGTGCAGTTACCAGAAAAACAATCATACAGATGAGTCTTTGGTTACTCACAGAGGAAATTCACTGCTAAGAAACTGTATGAATTTTTACTAGATGACATTCCTCACAGTATTTTCTATAAAATTAATATATTAACCAGGAGTTGCAGACATTCTCTTTGTCCCGCTGTACCTTCACCAAGTCCTCAATTGTCAAGTAATCTTCAAGATTTGCGTTCCTCCTGTACCCCCATGACCTCTTGTCAATAGTCATGCAGTTCTCCCACTTGTGAGGCAGAAGGTGTCCTGGGTTGTACCGGTCACTGCATGTGTAGAAGCCACCATGCTTACAGATGCTGCCCACTCCCCAGCGGTCATTGGTCACCACTGTGTCCCGAACTGGACTGGAAACAAAGAAATTGTATGTTTAGGATTTTAATTCTAGCCATTACACTCAGAGCCAATGTAATCCCCCTCACCTCCTGTACAGCCCTCCCAGAAATTAACATTTAGGATGACTTCTGTACTACTGCAATTAGATTAAGTACTATTTCAGGAACCCAGTTCTTAGGGAAATATGCTGCAGCCTTTCACAGGAGTCTTGCCAGAAGGCAGTGTGCACTTCACATCTGCTGCCAAACGTTCAGTCTGTGATGACAACAACGCACCTCTGTACTCAAATTATCTTGCTATCTTATTTGCCCATGCAATAGACAACGCTAAAGAAAAATGATTAAGTAGAATAATCATTGCCATCTTAACTGATGAATGTGCAAGCATGGTTAAATAAATATGAAAGAGTCTAAAACAAGCTTCAGTAGTTTTAGGTAAGACCTGGATTACTGGCACGCTATACATCAGGTAAATTAAGATTTAGCTAAGTCCCCGTAAGTGGAGGTAAAAAGTTCCACAAATGATACAGAAGGAGACAAACTAGAAAACAGAATTTCAGATTAGGAGCTAAAATAGCATCATGATACACCTGTCATTATACAGCCAAGCTAGAAAACCAGTGCTGTTCCAGTAAGTATCTGGTGCATTTCCATTCCCATCAGACCAAACTATTTCTGGTTGGTACTTGGTCACAATTTCATAGAGTTCTGGTAATGATTTACTGGTTGGAAACTTTCGTGTCTTGAAGACATTGGTGGCATCCTCAAGGAAGAGAGGATTAAACCATTCAAACAGGGAGTGATATAAACCAAAACGCAAGTCAGTTCTGTTTCTAACAGATGTTTCTAGTTCAGCCACAAGATCTCGCTTTGGTCCCACATCGACAGCGTTCCAGTTCCAAGAATATTTGGACCCCCACAAAGTAAAGCCTGAAAAGAGAAAAATTAAAAGTTAAGAAAGGAAAGCAGCAGAACATCGTGGTTCTACTATGCAAGTGTATTGCAAAAGAAAAAAATATATCAAAATAATCATTAAATGTGTAACCATTTATACATATACATAAACATCTGTAGAGATAAACATTCAGATAGAAAAATATAAGCATTCAGTGTTCTTGTTCTGATAATCATTTGATTCTCCTCCAGTTGTCCATTCAAATGCCCATATGAAATTAACCAAGGATACAGAAACTTTTTGACACATTAGATTTTTACTGAATGTAGTAAATATGAATTTTGAATATACATTCAACAGTTGGAAGATTAAACATTAGCTTGTGCATTCTGCAACGGAGACATCATTTGCATTCAGACTACTCTCCTCCCTTTTGTTCACATCTCATGCAAATGTTCACTGTTCATTTGTCTTATCATTCATTAACAGCTCAATCAGCAACTCAGTACACGTGCATAAGCAGAGTGCAAAAACTCCTGAAGCAGCTTTTAAAACATCAGCATTAAACATCCTCACCTCTCAGACATGCAGCAACTCAGCTCAAGCACTGTAGGCACTACCACGCTGCAGATTTAAACCAAGGCCAGAGGGGCCCCACTCTCACCTTCAAACTGCTTCACACTCATTGCCTAATAAATTGTGAACTGGATACATGTAATTGTATCGACTAGACAAAGATTTGGGGTTGTTTTTTTGTTTGTTTGTTTGTTTTGTTTTTAAGTCAGTGGAAATTACGCTACAGAATCAGAGTTTTGAGTGTGTCAGAGATGGGATTAAATTTCACAAGTAGTTACTCGTTAAAGTTGCAAGTTTCAAGCTAACATCTCCCTGAACACCAACAGTGCTGACTGGCATTGTCATATTGCTTCCTGATATTCTATACTTTGCTACTAGGTTTCCTCCCAGCCGTGCCCTTTTCTTTGCTCTTGGAACATATTGCTAAATTCCCTGGAGAAATCTCCAGGCAACTGCCAGTTCAGAGCAGCTCTCCATAGACAAAACAGCGCAGCATTCACTTTGTGGTTCCTTGAGCAATATATTACACAACAATCAGAAATAAACCCAGCTGCTGCTGGAAGTTCAGTTGCCCTCACCACTGCAGGCTGTCTTACATAGAAGAAAAAAAACACGGCACAATCTATTCTTCCTTCTATGTGAGTTTCATGAGCATAGCTTTTGTGCAAGAATCTGGAAAATGCCAGCACATTTTAACTTTTTGACTGGGTTGGGGCAAGTAATTGTGTCATCTCTGCCTTTCTCTTAGCAGGCAGGAAAGTAATTCCTTCAGTTAAAAAACACAACAGCTTCTAACATTCAGAACCCTTCTGCTTACCTTCATGATGTTTTGAAGTTAAGACAACATATTTTGCACCTGAAGCCTTCAGAATATCTGCCCACTGGTTAGGATCAAAGAACTCTGCTGTAAACAGTGGCCCAAAATCTTCATAACTGAACCCAGGTGGGTAATTTGCCTTCATAAATTTCACATAGGGCTCCCTCTTTTCCTTCTGCCAATACCACCTACAAAATACAGATCAAAACCATGTCTGCTGGTGTGTTTTTAGACAAAAGATTACTGAAATCATTAGTTCCTATGTGCATTCACACTGAGAGGCACAAGAACTGGATGCACATGATACAGGCAGCCACATAAAACTGCTTCAGAACATAACAGCATTAATAATTAAAGGCTTCCTTCTCTCTGTCCTTTCCCCATGCTGCACTTCTTCCACTGGCTCCACTTTGGAAAGGTCCCAGGATTTCATTTGTGAAGTCAATGCTATTGCTCCAATCACTCCAGCCCACAGTGAGGCCACAGAGCTGCTCTGGCCTCACCCTCACCATGAGCAGAGAACAAAAATGGCCAATACAGCACTATGTGTCTTCCGCCTGCCCCACCTCTCCCCTTCCTAGAAATGAAAGAGGAACTCCAGATACAGCATGCAACATCAAGCCTTATTGCTAGAGGCCTTCTATAACTGCTGGGGAGAAAAGATCTGAAAGCTTTCACTTTCACATAAACAAAGCCAGGTAGCAAAATCCTGTTGGCAAATTTAGGCATAAATGAACAGAGTTTGAAAGTAGAAGCAATGAACAGCAGAATTGGAATATCTGAGATGCGCTTCTCTCTCCCATCTTGAGCCAGTCTCTAAGCTGAGCTCTGTACCACCACAGAAGCTGCATGGATCTTACTGTGACTTTCCCAAAGAGACTTCAGCATAGGCTGATACAGTCTCTGGGAGCCGGTGGCAAAACATATAAAAAATAAAAGAAAGAGGCCAAGGTTATCTTCCTTCTTGAAAGAGCCTGAAAACAAAACCGAACAAACTGGTTTTTAAGGATGTAGCTGCACAAATAAAGGAGTAACTTCCTTCCTTTGTCACACAGCTTGCTAACAACAGTGAGCCTTTCTGCTCTGACAGGACTGAGTTTCAGAGCTCTACTGCCCAAGGCTGTACAGCCCTACAGGGAAGGAGGCACCTAGGCAGCACCAGGGTCTGTGGCCTTGCCCTGAGGCCATGGGCAGGGACCTGGGCCACCTGAGCGTGCTCTGCACCAGGAGGTCCTGCAGGGCTCCTCACCGGGATGAGCCTAAGGGAGGGAGGCAGAGATGGAGACAATCATCCACTGCATCAGATTGCTTTCAGACCTTTTTAGAAAAATAAGAAGAAAAAACAGGATGTTTGAGCGTCAACGCGTGTATGAACCTTCCTGTGAGAGAGGCCTGAACAGAACCTAGCCTTTTTTTCTCTAGCAGAAAGTCATTACTCAGCAAATGGAGTATGCAGCAAGAACTGCAGATACCCTTATATGCAACTCTGAAAGGAATAGGCCAAATATTGCCTTCATTAAACAGTGGTTTGCTGATATTGACGTCAGCTTGCTTTATGAAGATTGCTTTTAAGCTTCACCATGGCGAAGAGCTGCTGTTTACCTCCACACCTCATAGCGTGACTTAGAAGGAAACTGCACACCAGACGGCTACACCCAGCGGACCAAAGGCTCGAACTAAATGGATTTGAAGGCGCTGAGACTGAAGTTAAGCGGAATGCACTTCTTCATGAAAGTGATAACGAGGGAAGAAAACCACCGCGAGCAGCACGAAGGCAAACAAAGCAGCGCCAGGCAACGGAAGCGCTGGGCTGCTCGTAGCCTCTGCCACAGCTGTCCTCATTGCGCTGCGGCACCCATCCCTTTACCGCGGCACCTCGGCCGCCTCCTGCCGCTCCTCCACCTCTCTCGCAAAGCTCGCAGAAAACCACACCGGCCTCCAGCCCCGCTCGCCCCGCTAAGCGGGCCGCCCCTTCCCTCCGCGCCCGGCGGGCAGCAGGCGAGGCGGCAGCTCACCAGAACCACTCGCTGCCGAAGCTGGGCACCGCGAACACGCCCCAGTGGATGAAGACGCCGAACTTGGCCTCGTCAAACCAGGTGGGCAGCGGACGGGCGTCTAGCGAGGCCCAGGTGGGCTCGTAGCGGTGCCGCCCGCTCAGTAGCCCCGGTAGCGCCAGCAGCAGCAGCAACGCCGGCTGCAGCAGGCCCGACATGGCGGTAGGCGGGGGCCGGAGCGAGGCGGGGCCGGGGGCGGGAGCTATTGTCCGAAGGCCGGGCCGTACGAGGGGCCGAGGCCGCCCCGCCTCGCTCGTCCCGGTGCCCTGCGGCTCCTGCCCCGGGGAAGGAGCAGCCCGGCAGGCTTTGGGGAGAGGCTTTTTACATTTTTAGTTACGTGCCCCGATGGGTGTAAGTTACAGCCTGATAAAAAACATTCTGACTTCCATGATATCATTATTTTTTTTTCTGGTAGACTGCCCACGTTGCTCTAATTTACAAATAAACTTTGATGTCGAGAATAGGAGCCCTTCGTTATTTCTTTCTTTTGCCTTTCCCTGCTTCTGCCTTTTGCCCAGCGCTGACCTGCTTTCTCTGCATCTACACTGACCTTCATTTCTTCCCATGTCCCTTCACATCTCAGCAGGAGCTCCTCAGCACCTTTGACCTCTTGCTGCTGTATCTGCTCTGGTTTATCTTTGGATTTCCTCATGTTCTGCGACTTTTCTTTTTGACGGCTGCTGCCACCAAGGGACTGCAGAACCGAGCAGCCCCTTAACGGAGGAGTTTTGAAGTAGGTTCTCATTCTTTACAGCATACCCAAGCTAGAGCTGCTCTGTGACTTTCAGTGCTTTGAAGGAAAAACAACACGAGGAAAGCTCCAGGGTCTCACCCAAAGCCCACCAGTGTAGATGAGATCCACAGCACGAAATGTGCAGTTTGCTTAATGACCTTTCTCACATGCTTTCAATTAAGAGAAGAAAGAGAGAAAGAGAGAAAGAGAGAAAGAAAGAAAGAACAGTAAAGAAGCAGTTCAGTAAATAGATGTCAGGAGTACACTTCCAATTAAGGCTTAGAGTGGTTCAGAAACTGCCACCAGCCGGCCTGCTCATGCACAGCTGCTGCCATCTCCAGTGAGAGGAAGGGCCCTCAGCACATCTGTGAGCTGTAAAGTTCAATTATAACGACATGCACTCTATGGGATTCAGTGAGAAATTTAGGACTAACTCCTGTGACTTGGTAGAAAACTTTCTGATCAGGGGAACGTAGTGCCTGTGCGATGTGGGGCAAACCTGGCCCTGAAGGAGAGTCTGCAAGCGCCCGGCAAAACAAAACGAAACCACGGAGTTTGGGTTTGCAGCTCTCGGGGGGTGCGGAGGGAAAGATGGATGGGGTGCAGGGTTTCCTGGATGCCCAAGTCCCCACCGTCCTCCTAGCGGGGCGGCCCCGCGTCGGGGCGGTCGGAGCGGAGGGGCGGCTCTTCCTCCGCAAACTTTCCCTCCCTCTCGGGGCTCTCCCTCCCTCGGCTCCCCGATGGCGGAGGCACCGCTGCCCGCCTGGCCGTTGCCCGGCCCTCGCGGCCGCTCCCAGAGCGACATCTCCTCCTTCTCCTCCTCCCGCAGGAGCTGCCTGCTCCGCTCCGGCGTGGGGGGCTCAGGTAACGGGGTGCGGGGAGAAGAGGGAGCGGGGAGAGGCGGCTCAGCCCTCGCAGAGCCTGATGAGCCGGGCTGGGGGTTTCGGGAAGGGGTATCCCGTTCCCGAACTGCCTTAACAGGTGGGGCAAAGCGGTGCTCCTCCTGAAGGAGTTAACCCTGCATCGCACGCGGGATGCTTTGGGTTGGGAGTAGTCCCAAAGTAGGCTTCCTGCGGTGTGCAGAACAACGCTGCTCTGTAAAGGAGAGGAAGCGAGGACCTGAGTTTGCAGTGTGGCCGACTGAAAGTGGCCAAAGTGAAATAAATACGTGCTTGGATGAGGCTGCTCTTCACTCAGGCTGTTTTCTGAGGTTAGATATTAAGGAACATGAAATTTTGGTGTTTGTGCTGCTGAGCACGTTTTAGAAACATGGGCTTGCCTGGCTGCAAACCAGCACTTCTCCATTGACTAAGGTGGCAGGAGGCACACATCCCTGGTGATGCAGGTGTTCTGGATGCACCCATATAGAGATGCCCGTGAGCCCCAGCAGCACCAGGAACTGTGTCTGAGTGAGGCAGAGCACCTCAGAGAGCACAGAGACCTCCTGTTCCCCAGCACCAGGGCAGCATGGTGCATGTCAAGCCAGCAGTCAGGGCAGCATGGTGCATGGTTGGGTCTGCAGTGGAACACCAATGAAAAGAAGCCTATGTGCCATTTTCCACACATCTTTTTCTGCTTTACATTTTTCTGTGTCTACTTGTAAGGTCTACTCAAGCATATTTAGGTCTTGGAGAGGGAGGAAGTGCCAGTGGTGTGATTGAACTAGAAAGGACTGCTTCTAGGTGTGAGATGTATTGTGCAGCGTGAATGAACAACACCCTACAACTTCATTTGTATACAAGATGTCCACCATGGTGGTGATCCTACTGTGACCAGGTTAAGACATGGCTGAGACCGTGTCAAAGTTAAAGTATGTTGGTTATTAACTTGACTTTCAAGACTGCTGGCAGTGAACTGGATGCATTATATGAGAACAGCAAATCAAGTGGAGATAAAATGACAGTTTTTCCAAAGATATGTTGTTATTTGCAGTTTCTCAAATAGATAATTTAGGCCTCCTTTTTGCCTCACTTGGTTTTTTCTTATTTTAATTTTGAGGATGTGCCTCTTGCCAGCAAATGACAAGTTTCCTGGCTTTTATTATTTTTAAAAAATCATTTCTTTCATTCTATATCCTCCCAATTGCTGCTTCCCATATTTTTTTCCAGCTGCTCATAGTGCACAACAAAAATACTTACATGCTGGCACATAACTGTTGATTCCCCCTTTAAAAAGAAAAACATGCATTAAAGATTGAAAGCTGTTTAATTTTTAACACGGTGGTACAGAGATGCCATTAAAATAACCTCTCTCATTCCCCCACTAACCTGGAGAGCAAGCATAATGGGGACAGAAATGTGAAGCACTTAGGGGATCTGTATAAGCCTTATTAATATTTTTGCTCCTACCTCTTTGCCTGTACCACCTGCCAAATTTGAAGTAGGCCATTCGCATCAGATGTTACCCGTGCTCCAGCTGCTGAACTTAGAAAAGAACAACCTGAACTTTAAATAACCTGCAAAAAATTTGCTTGCTGCCCATTCCTAGTGGTTCAGTTCCAGCTTGAAAGTCACAAGTTGCAGTTTTTGCTGTTCATTCGCCTTCGTTTTCCAGATTCTGATGTTGGTTGGTTGAAAAGACAACTTGTCTGCTCGTGCTTCGCCAGCAATGGGTTGGTACCTACCAGCCCATTACCCATTAGCACAGTGTGCTGCCATTTTGCTACCTCCTGACTCGCCATTCTCAGTGCAGCATCTGTCAAGAGACAGTAATTGTAGAGACCCTTCTGGCTAAGGAAAACAGAACAGCATTTCTAAAAGCATCTTTGACAATACCATGAAAAACCCATCTGTTTGATTTTCCAGTTCAGTACTGCACATATCTCTTTAGTACAATGAGTTTGATGAGATTTTCCCAGTGTTTGTGCTCCCTTTGCTCTTTTACCCCCTCTCCTTCCTCTGCTGCTAGCTTTTGCTGAGAGCAGCAACTTCCTTGTATCTCTGTGCAGGATCTCACTTCACCAGCTGTGATCCAATTTGTGAGAATAGTATATTTTCTGTTTTTCCCTTTTTCTTAAAGCAAGCCTTTTCTTTTACAGTCAGTGGTAGAAGATCACTTAATTTCCCTCTCTGGGCTGCATCGCATCATCTGTTGTGGTGTCAGGCTTAGCCTTTAGTTTCAGACACTAATTCTCATTAGACCCTGGGGAGAAAAAGGTGATCCTCATCACGAGGAAGGGTGACACAACTTTGGTTTTTGATTCATACTCTGAAAAGACGTAATTTCATCCAAGTTCATAGGCTTTGTGAAAGGCAGAGCTGAGTCACTTGAACACTCTGCCTGACAAAGGGCTGCTTTGTAAGAGCATCTTTAGGAGACTGGGGAGGAAAAATGTTATTCTAAAGTTCAGAGCAGTATCATTGCTGCTCCAAGACCACTGCTTGGATGGCGTACCCTTAAGCAGCCTTCCATATGGAGTGATTAGACTTAAAAACCATGTGAAGGGTGGGTAAATCTAGGTGAGTTTATTGATCTGCCTGGTGTAGGCAGGGTTTGAACTGCATTTGAAATGCAAGTACTGTTCAGATGCTTCCCCAGAAATAATTCAGAAGCTAAGTTTGGTGGTGTGGGGCTGAGGGCAGCTCTCAGACAGCGGAGGGCTGAAGCAGGGGGCAGGCTGCTGCTTGTGTCGGCTGCTTGTGGTTTAGTTCGTGACAGCCTCAAAGCCTGGGCCCTTGCTGCCATGGTACACAGCCAACGTGTCACCCTGACAGCTTTTTATCTGCATGTCCACATACTCAGTTTTCACTTTGCTCTCTTATTGTGGGTTTTGCTGTAGGGCCTGAAGCAAAGAGTCTTGTACTTTATTCAGAATATGTTGAGGTTTGTGGCGAGGTGCCTTTTTGTGAAAAGGGAACTTCTTGCACCAGAAGTCAAAAAAACCCAATGTCTCCATTCCATCTAAGGTACTATGTGTGAAGCAGGCCTTTCAGATAATCTGTCCCACTGCTATGAAGTGCACCTTTCAGTTCTAGAGGTGACGGCCAGATGCTTGTTTCCATTCCTTTCATCCCCTTTTTCCTGCTTTTCTGATGACAGATGGAAAAAAAAAAAAACAACTGAGAATTCAGACAGCAGTTCACAGTTGTATCAGACCATACCATAGATGCAAACAGTGAAAGGCTGAGTGAAATGGCAGTCAAAATTCAAAACTTGTACATCCCAGGTTTACTCTAGAATTTTTTCTGTGTCAAAATGGTTCTTTGCAGGTTAACTTATTCAAAATGATGATGAGTCACAGCTAGGATTACACCTCCTACTAACTGCAGAGTAGAGTGGGTGAAAATGTGGCTTAAAGTCACCTCCTTCTGTGGAGAATTGAGGAAGAGTTCATGTGGTGACCAGAGCATCAGAGGAGCTGGTACTGGGTGAGGAGGAAGGATAATTATCATTGTATATGTTGACTTGGCTTCCTGGGGGCATAGA